TCCACGAAAGTTTCTTGCCCTCGGCTTCCATTGCACATGCAATCTGGCAGGCAGCAGAACAAATTGTCATAATTGTGTTTAATTAAAAAGCGTAAATGGATTATCTTCAGGTAAGGATGATTTATTTAACTAATCAGTCTGATCACAGAGAATGTATAGTCTGGAGATGGAAATCATTTGGGGGAAATGGGTAATTCCTTTTCCCGTCAGCCCTGAAGTCAGTCAGGATTTCAGCACCAAATCCATCGCAGAGAGAGGGGCGAAGCCAAGCGCACCACCCTTCATCCCGAGGGATCCTTTTGAACATCCTCTCACCCCCCGTCTCTTGCACTGGAGTTATTCTTTTCCTCTTACTTCCCGTTTTCAGATAAAACCAGCTGCATGGTCCCGTTTTTGCATGGTTTGTGCCATACACCACGCGCTCCATCCTGGGCTCCACAGACACACGACCCCTCGCCCCGTAAATTCGTCGGGGTGGAGAGGACAACCCCGAGTGGGACGGAGCCAGCGGCACCGCTGCGACCGCTCCTGCGAGGCAGTGCCACGCGGTTCGGACGCTGCGCCCAGGGCCAGGCACTGTCAACACCAAACGAGCATAATTAATTGACCATCTGCTTGAAAAGCCAAGTGTTGGGTGGCACTGGAGGATGACTGCCGTGTCGTCGGCCTCTGAAATATCTCTGAGAGTTGGGTGCTTTGGGTACTGACGTCTAGCTCGGGCGTCCTGAGCGTTCCTTTGGTTTTACGTGAGCGCTCCTCAGCTTTGGAGGTGCTTTATGGTGGGATGCAAAGCCTACAGCTGGGGAGTTTGTCACCTCCCGGGCTGGCACGGGAGGAAGACCCAAGGGAAGGTGGCAGCCGGCACCCGCTCATCTGGAGAAGGGTCTTTGCAGACCTCAGTCCTCGCCTACCCAGATAACAATTCCCTCGTTGTGGTTGCGTGTTTGGGGAATTACTTGAAACCATTACAACATGAGCAGGGAAATAAGGCACCTGTGGTGTTTTCTGTTATTCCTAAGAAAATTCTCCTTGTGTTTAATAGGTGATGTTTAATAAAAATGAAAATGAGCTTATCCTGAGCAGGCATGCACGCCAAAAGCTGGCATTTAAATTAGAAATTATGATTTAATAACTTGTCAAGAAACTCACCAATGTAACAGCGTGATAATTATTGAAAGGAGGCTTCATAAATACTGGAATGCCGTGATCTGTTATGAGAACCAAGCTCATAAACGCCTGGTGAGCTCTGCGTGCGACGGGGCTGCGAACCTCTGGCCCTCAGCAGGAGAAGGCTCTCAGAGAAGTCCTACCCACGAGGTCCGTAGGGCGTCCCCATCCCAGGGATGATGTACCTGGAGTTTTTCTCACTTCGGTATAGGCTTGCACAAACAGTAACGGCGGTCGTGTCCCAGAGGTCCTCCGTGGGTGCGAAGGGCGGGCAGGGAACCGCGGGTACCCGAGCAGAGCCTGCCGGGAATGCTGCAGCTCTCCGGCTCTTTGGCGAGGAGGCGGTGGGGAGGCAGACACCTCACCACGAGTTTAGCAGCATCGCCGGCGCGGTTCGGGAGCAGGACAGGGCTGGGGTTTGCAATCGCAAGCGGGCTGCCGGGCTGCGGTGAGTAGAAACGGAGCTGGAGGCAGAGCAGACGGCGCGTGTCGGGGCGCTGGGGCCGGGGAAGGATGTGACAGACGGGGCTGGGGAGTGCGAGCGAGCCCACGCGGAGGGTGGCGCGGCTTTGCCCGGGGGAGGTTGGCCACGGCCCAAGGACGCCGTTCGGTGTCCAGCTCTGCCGCGCTGAGCCGGCCCCGCCGGGCGGGAGAATGCGGCTCCAGCGCTGAAACCTCCGAGGTGCCGCTTAGAGACGGACCACGCAGGGTGGGTAGAGTCTTCTGCTCAAGCAATCTGACAACAAAAAATATTTATAGCCTTGGGAGGTCACGATTGCTCCTTCGCACCCCCTGAGCCTCCTCTAAATCCTTGACTGATTTGCTGGGAAAAATTATCTTTGGTGAGGCCGTACTGTTTGAATCACGTCCCATCTCTTAATTTAAACAAAACCTTCACATAAGGACTTCTTAATATATACACTTTAAATTACAATCTTGACTTTCTGTTGGTTGATTATGGCATATGACTCTCAGTTGGAAGGCCATTATTTCTGCTATGATTTAGAAAGCAGTTAAAGTGAAATCTCTGTAATAAATACTGAAGCATTGTAATAGATAATTCGGTGTATTTAAATGCGACAGACCCCTTGGCACGATGTTTGGTTGGCAGGAGAGGCGTGAAAAACACGGACAAAAGCAACTGGCAGGCTCAGGTTTTGGGTTCTGGCTCAGGCACATGTCTCGGTGGGGAACAGCATCCCCGCGGGAGCTGGGCGCTGGGTCTCTCGGTGGGGACCGGCATCCCTGCGAGAGCTGGGCGCTGGGTGTCTTGCTGGGGACCAGCATCCCCGCGGGAGCTGGGCGCTGGGTGTCTCGCTGGAGGGCAGCATCCCCATGGGAGCTGGGCGCTGGGTGTCTCGCTGGAGGGCAGCATCCCCATGGGAGCTGGGCACTGGTTCCCACGGGCTGAGAGCAGGGAGCTCGGCTCAAACTTCTCCCATTAAACGCAAACCGTTCCCAATATGTTGTTTATAGTATGATGCCTCAGCACGTGCCGTGCCATAGTAAAAATGGGCCTTAAAAGACCACCAAAACAGGAGCATGAGAGCCCAGTGTTTATAGCAGATTCCTGCCGTAAATTCAGGGAGTGGAAGTGGACATCCAATCCAGATTAACTGTAGCGAAGGAAAGCAAAAGAAAACTAGACAGGGTAGCCAGAGATTTACTGCAAACCGCCCCCACCACTGTCCTGTGCCGTTCAGCAAAGCACTGCGGTCTCCAGATAAAATTGTACAAACAATTAAGCACCAACTTTGTGTTTCAAATTTAAGTGGTGATACAGAAATCGGTGTGACAGCACAGAGCTTACGTCCGAGAACTGGGGCTGGTTTGGGGACCGTCTCCTGTTGTACACATACAGAGCTCCTGTCCTGATGTGACCCCGTCCCAGATGAACCTCAGGATGCCTCTATCATGCAAATACTCTTCCTAATAATAATTAGATGGCATTCTGGAGCAGCCAGTGGCTTCCAAAATCTTGCAAATCAGGCCCTCTCTGGCCAGGAGAGCTTTAGGAGAG